CCTTTTTATTCAGTCTGGGTTCCCAGTTCATGTTTAGGGCATGTCTTCCCACTTCATGTAAACCTCACTGAAAATGCCCTCAAAGACACGTCAAAATGTGTCTTCTAGATCACTGCAAATACAATCAAGCTGGCAATGAAGATTAGCCACCCTATCTGCCAGTGTTATCTCAAATGGGCAGGTGGAAGCCAGGTGGCAAAGCCTCCTGGGGACTGGATATCAAAAGAGCATAGCCATATTTGTCCCCTGCTCAAATGTCAAAGATGCCTGTGACCTATCTCAGGGCCCTAGGGAAGTCAGAATGAATGGATCACAGATCCAGATAACATTTATCAAATTCTACAATGTGCAAAGAGCAGTGTTATCCAACGTACCTGTCACCTCAGGGCAAAGATCATCAGTTCCATTGAAAATATGAAGAAATTTATGTTTGAAGAAATGTGACTTCTTACAGCTGTCCCAGAAATTTTAAACTGATGAAAATAAGTCTTCAAAATTTGTTCTGATTTCTGAATACATGTTCTTGGTTTATTGGTAAAGTATCTTTTGCACACACACACACAAACACACCTAGAGTAGATCCTATTAAGTGAAGGCAAGGAAGACCCCACTGTTCTTAAACAGATGTGGAGAAAGGGAGGGAGACCAGAGAAAACTCTGACTTACTAACCAGAAATTAACATGAGAGAAGTGGGCGACACACGCCTGTCCATCTGAGCTTGGGCTTAGGCAGCATGAAATCCTGCCTGAATGGCTGCCCTCTGACCTCAGGTGGTAGGAGAGGCTGGAGGACATAAGGGCACCTATCTGTCTGCATGCGAATTTAAAATGTGGTCACAGAAATTATTTTTAACTTCACTTAGAGGAGAATATTACAGGGTCAATAAATCACCTCACATACCATTTAGCCTGCAAAGTACAGGGTTAAGAAGCAAACGATTTTGAAATGAAAGGCAGAGTATAAATCCATATGTTTCTCTGGAATATGGAAATGTACTAACTTGAGCAGATGTTTGGTCTCTATGGAATGAAGGCAAGTCTCTCGGCTCCTGGGAAGTCTGGGAAGAAAACCCATCTCTCCCCGGTTACTTCTTCATTCTCTGATCAGCACCACGAGTTCCTCTCTGACTGTCTGGACCACAGTGAGTCCTGAGTTTGTTTCCTCTGTAATTACAAATCTCTGCTTACTCTTCAAATGTTCAGTGTCACTGCAGCCAGCCAGTCACCAAATAAACCCTGCCTGAATGCCTGGACATTGGTCGTCTACGCAAGTAGACGATAGCCAAGTGAGGAAGGACCCAGAACAATCCACAGTATGCGTGAGTGAGAGTTGGGGAGATGGCCCTGTCAGTAAAGTGTTCGTTGTACAAGCATAAGGAGCGAGCTGAGTTTGATGCCAGATGAATTCATTTGCAATGAAGTCTTGGTCTAGTGGTGTGTATTTATAATCTCAATGCTGGGGAGATCCCTGGTGCTCCCTGGGTAGACAGTTTAGGCTACTCAGCAACTCCAGGCCAATGAGGGAGCCTGTCTTAAAAAATAAGATATACAGTGCTTGAAGAACAACAGCTGAGATTGTCCTCTGACCTCTGAAGACATATGCATACATGTGCACACACACACACCCCCCACACACACACACCAGTGAGCAAGTGTGAGTCCTTATCATGGCTCTGGCAGGTGTGAGGAGACAGATATCTTGCATGGCTGGTTAAATTGCTATAATATAGAAGTTCTCAAGTGGGGATGTTTTGAACCAGGGAACATTTTACAGTGTCTAGAGACATTTTGGTTGACACATCTAAGAGATGAATGCTATTGGCACCAAGTGACTAGGCATAAGAGAGGTGTGCTTATTTGCCTGCAGGGCACACCCCAGCCCCTTCAAGCAAGAATTATTGGACCCTAGATCCAAATAAAGCAAAAGTTGACAAATTCTGCACAGACATCTGAGTAAAGAGAACTATCTAAGCAAGACAGGCTTATTTTCTCTATGTGACCCCCAAATGGGCTCATTTGGCTGAAAAGACCATCTCTGTAGGGATTTGAACCTCTGCTCCTATATCTTGATGTGTGTATGCCCTGCCCCACCCCCACAAAACATACAACCAGGACAGGAAGTGACAGAATTTTCCAACATGGCTTTGCTGGTCATAGGGAATCCGTTGTATCTTCTCAGGTTTAAATAGCATTCTGTAACTGTAGTCATGGTGGCACTGGGGTAAAGAGGGTAAATGCCCCACTCACATAAACAGAGAATGGGCTGAGTTGGGTCTACGGGCTTCTGTTGGGGCCCTGCCTGGTCAAAAGGATTTGGTCTACATGGGAGATGGTGGAAATGCAGAGGAAGCCTGCTTACTTTTAAGAGAGAACACATGAGTTGCTTGCATCCATCACATCTGTGTGTGTCCTACTGGCCAGAACTCAGAAAAGCGGGACATGTGGTTTGGAGCTAGGTATCATAGTTAGGGAAAACTCAGATGCTGTTCATTTTTGATTTGGTTTTTCAAGACAGGATCTTGCAATACAGATTTCTCTGGCCTACAACTTGCTATTGTAGTCCAGGGTACTCTCAAAATTCAAGGCATCCCCATGCCCCTGTCTCCCCAAGTGCAGGGATTATGGGCATGTGCTCTCACACCTGATCTCATCTTTATCCTCTAAAACAGAGAAGAATGGCTATTAAGGGACAAATATCAGTGTCTTCAATCACCAGAATGTGGAGGTAGGAGATGCTTGAGAAACACCAAATGATGCTGGCAACACAGGAGAGTGGATTACATCCAGCCTTTGAAGTGACATGCGTAGTTACAATTTTTCTCTTACAGACATAAACTGCTCTGTATTTTTTAGTGTCAGGACCAATGCTTCATTTTTAAGGAGATTCCTATTGCATCAATATGCAGAGTAAAATGGAATGGCCAGGCTGGGATGTGGCAGGGTGGGGAAACATCTTTGGAAAACACCGCCATATTGTTGGTGAAGGAGAGCACAGCTTGAATAAACACGGTGGGAGGGAAATGAAGTCACTGAACAGAGGAGAAATTTAGAAGGGAGAATGGACAGAGAAGGCATGCTACAGACTAAACTTATTTAAGGAATTTAGAAAAAGCAGAATTAGTTATTAGTAGTAATAAAAATATAAATAAAATAATAGAATAATACACTTGTGTCACCATCGTGGCCCTGGGTTAGCCTACACTACCTTCTCTTCCTCTTTCTGGTCTTCGGCACCGAGAATCATCACCATTCTTCATGAAAATACATCTGCGTCTCTGAAGTGCAGGACCCAGAGCTTAAGCGGCTCGAGGTAGATGCAGCATTTGCAAGCTCCGGTTGTAATGAGTGGGCAACCCCAGTGCTCAAGAGAAGCATACTGAGGAAGTGGCATGCATTTTGAGACTGGCTGGCACCAAGGGAGACAAAAGCCCATGGTGTAATTATGCCGAGTGGAGTACTCAATATGATGCAATCGGGAACTGTCTCCAATATGCCCCGCAGTGCCGTGAAAGGGCTTTGAATAACAGAATGCTCTCGAGCTGTGAGGCTGCGTCCCTGGGAGCCTGAGAAAGCTGCCTCAGCCGGCATCTTCTCTTCCCTTCAGCCAACAGTGCCCACGGCCATTTATTGAACATCTTCTGGATGCCAGGGTCTATGTTTAGTCTTAGGGACGCGGAGAATAAGACATGAGCTTTCAACTTTCTCAAGGGAAGATTCTCTAGTTGTTGTCACTGGAGCCAGTGAACAAAGGCGGGACAAGTATTTCTTTGATTTGTTTAAAGCCAAATTTCTAGTAATGAGAGCATCTTCTCGGTGACAAGGTTTCTGCAAAGTTCCTTTTGCATTTAGTGTGCTGGACACTTTCAGCCTTAAAGACGTGCCGTCCAGTCATGCACTTTCAAGGAATTGTCTGAAAACTGTTGGCACCATTTTTTCCTAAAGAGAAAAGACAATGTGTTCTTTGTTGTCTGTCTTCAGTTGTTTATGTGTTGTCAGAATCACTATGGTGACAAACTGGCTAGTTCTCTAAATAATAAATAACTCCAGGCGGGAGGTGGCTCATGTGGAGCACAGATAGAGCCACTTCTTACTCTAATTTGTTTCTGCTAAAGTTTGTCAACAAACTGTTTCTGGAACCTCTCCATAGCCATCATCTTTATGTACTTTCTGATCATCTTCAGTTCTGGGCCTCGGGAGCTTGGGCTGGGTTTGTGGGCACTTCTTTCAGAAGCACCAGCAACACTGATCTCTCTCTCTCTCTCTCTCTCTCTCTCTCTCTCTCTCTCTCACACACACACACACACACACACACACACACACTCTTTAGAGCCATTCATTCATTCCTAACACTATTTATCTCAGAAAGTTCTAGTAGGGTGCCAAACACTTTGTGCATGTGTCCTCATTTAAATGTTACAACATTCAACCAACCTACATTCACTCTGTGAAGCAGTATGAATAAGAATAAGGCATAAAGAATGTCTCCAGGTACCAGTGAAGAAATCTGAATGAAATGAGTGACCTTCAAGACTGTGTCATTGGTAACTGAGAGAATAAACATTTGATGTAGGCTTTTATGACTCACAAACACATATACTCTATGACTCTACCAAGTAGGGTTTTTTTTTTCTTTCTATAATACTTTGAATTGCTATTGTGATTGTGAGTGCATGATTTGGGGAGGAGTGTGCACAAATGGAGGTCAGTTCTTTCTTTATACCTTTACCTAGGTTCAGGAGATCAAACTCAGATTACTAGACTCCTCTGCAAGTACTTTACCTACTAAGCCATATATATATTTTTTCCAATAAGATCTTTATAGCTCTTTTTCATGATGATAGCCTTAATGTCAAACATTCAGTTGGTTTTCTGCTTGCCAAAAAACCAATATGTTCATTTATAACCACTTTTGGCAAACTAATACCTATGGGTCAAATCCAGGCTTTTAGAAAATAAAGTTTTATTGGCACATACCTGTACCCATTCATTTACATATTGGCTCCTGCCTCCTTGGCATTGAGTACTCCTGTTAGACCTTGCATGGCTCACAAAATCAAAAGTATTTACTGGCTGCATCTTTACAGAAAGTTGTTGCCAATCCCTGCTGAGAGCACAATCATGTGTATTGTTTCTTTCTTGAAGTTGTTTCTACTGCGTAGATGAGTGCTCTTCATGATTGTAATTAGCTTAGCTATAAAATGAATATATATTAATTTAGTTCAATACATTGTTCGAGTTTTCCAAGTTTTGATGTGTATGTGTGTGTGTGTGTGTGTGTGTGTGTGTGTGTGTGTGTGTGTGTGTTCTTCTCCTTTATATCCCCCATCTTTCCTTCTTTCATGTCTCTCTTTTCCCATTGGTCTTCTTTCTCATCTTAGACAGTTATCTCTCTCTCTCTCTCTCTCTCTCTCTCTCTCTCTCTCTCTCACACACACACACACACACACACACACACACACACACACGAATATATATGATTTAATGAACAAAGTTATGTCATTTGTGGAAAATCAGAGGTGCAAATGAAGATAACCACACTGAGTGAACTAAGCCAATTACAGAAAGACAAATATTATATATTTTTCTCATTTCTACATTTTTATAGATGTGCAAAAAATCAATACTTTTTATCAAATGCCAAAAAAAAAAAAAAACCAACCCAATGTCAGGAGCCTATCCACAGAAAGAAATGCACCATTTCCAACTGAACTCTGAGATGTATGTCTTGTTTTGACCCTTCCCAGCAAGTACATGGATTCGGCTAGCCTTGGGAACTGTGTTGTTGGTCCCCTGTTTCTTTTACATACCTGAGTGTTCTTGCCATGTCTAGTCAGTGATGGCTCCTCCAGGAGAAAAAACTAAAATTAAAAACCAAAAGCAGACTGAAAAGTGAGAAACTCACTTTCCCTTGCCCTCCCCAGCTTAAAGAAGTCCACAAAACCTTGGAGTTCAGTGTGAGCTCTGCAGGCCCGGCTTTATCTTCATCTTGAAGCTTACATAACCCGCAGATAAATTATAAGTTACTACAAAGATTCCCACCAATGACAGACTGAGTCACTGTCCTCCGAGTCCTTTCATCTTTCTGGATTCCACTTCTAAGCCTCTTTCTATTCTGTCAAAACGGAGTACGCTTTTGCCAACATCATGCAGTGTATGCCAGCACCTGGACACATTTTCCATTTTTACCTGGAGAGAAAAACATGACCATGGGTGAAGTTTTTCCACCACTACTTTTTTGTCCCCGTCTCCCAAAGTTCTGAGCCAGCTCTGGGAAACATTTCATGTCTATACTTGTGCAACAGTGGAGAGAGAATGAAAGGTTAAAGTGGCTTTTGTTTTCTGAAACATAACAAAAGCTTATCCTTAGAAATGCCATGCCGTGTGAGAACTAATCTGGTGAGTGTTTTGTTTTGACTTTTTAAACGCCAAGTGTCCATTTGATCTGGGGACTGAGACCACAGCTTCAGGACAAGATTTCAAAGAACACTGATGCCACAGTTTTCTTGGTTGGCTGATGTCTCAAAACTCATTTGCCCAAAGCCATCCCAGAAGAATAGAAATATTCTTATTAAAAAAATGATCTTTAAAAATCTCTAAGAAATAAAGCTAACAGTAAGCCTTTCTCTGAGCATGTGGGTGCATGTAAAGAGATCGACACTGGATGTCTCCCACAACCACACGCCATTTTATTTATTTATTTATGTATTTATTCATTCATTCATTCATTCATTCATTTATTTATTTATTGAGACAAGTTCTCTCATCAAATATGAAACTCACTGATTCAGCTAGACTTGCTGACCAGAGAGCCTTAGGGGTCCACCTGTCTTCAACTCCCCAACACTGGAATTGCACCAGGCCTTTCCCTTGGGTACTCGGGAGCTGAACTCAGAGCCTCACCCATGGCAAGCACTTTACACCTTACCAAGGGAGCCTTCTCCCAGGCTTTGAATAGCATTTAACTTTTAATAAGATGATTGTGTACTGTACTCAAAGAACAGGCGGCTCTCCAGAGAGCTACAACTTTGTATTATTGATGCTTTGACCCCTGCAGATGCCCACACCAGAGCAAAGGACACTCTGCTGCAGAGTTCGTAGTTGTCAAAACACTGGCCACAAGGCTGGTTGTGGCAGGCTCTTCGGCAAGTGCCACCTTACTGCAGGATTTTGCTTGTCAAACTAATCGTCGAGGAGATGATGCATGGGATGGGCTTATAAGCTTCCATTCCCATGGAGGGAGTAGACAGACACTGAAAGCAACCTCCCTCAAACGGAACAGCGTTCCTCCTCACCACCAGACAATAATAATGCCTAGCACCTCTGTAATGTCTTCACAGGTTTCTACATATAAAAATTAGTTAATTAGCAATTATTACCGTATGCTAGGTAAGCAATGATTAACATTATCATAATTTTATGGACTGAGTAGATGAGAGTGGAGGAGAAAGTGCCAAGAGAAAAATTAAAATTAATAAGTTCCTAGATCACAGGCTTCAGCTGCAGGGCTTTCAAGAGGGTTTTTTGTTTGTTTGTTTGTTTGTTTGTTTGTTTTTTGCAAAGAAATAACTGGGGGATAATACTAGAAAGAAGGTTAGAAAAAAATTCATTTTCCAAATAGAAATTTTCCTGTTTATTAATAGCTCCTGGGTTTTTAGGTCTGAACCTTCACATGCAAACTGTGCTGCATTTTTTTTTAATTGAGGAACCCTTGTAATTGTTGATCTCACTCTTGATGTCCCTTACCTTGTTTCCCCCCAAACACACGCACACGCGCGCGCGCGCACACACACACACACACACACACACACACACACACCTGAAAAATACGTACTCGGAACAGCAAAGAGTGGAGTGATTTGCAATGAATAAGTCTACTTGGTTTCAGCCATGAACCGGGTATCAGCTGAGCCCTGGGGATGGCACACTCACCCATTAATACTTTTTCACACTTTAAAATGGGACAAGCTTGAATGTGCCGTAAGAAACTGTACCATCCTGTGGTTTAACTGAAGAAAGAGGGCCTATTATGTATTATGTAGTTTTATATGTATTTTGAAGAGCATTAAGCTGTGTTATCTTGTAACCTTTTCCTGTACAGAGATCATTGCTTAGGGTCAAGTAACTAATAATGGTTAGAGAAACAAATACTTGTTTTTTGAGGTGCATTCCATTGTGATTGGCATAATCATAAACATGGGCGCACACACGTTTTACAGGTAGTGATATCCCCTCCCCCAGGAGGCTCTGCCAGAGCACCTATTTGGGAAACACTCTCCTCTACCTTCATTCCTTATGATCCAAGTGAAACTCTCTCATTGTCTGGCTTGAAAATGGGCAGACGAAAGGAGACGAGCTAGGATCCACACTATGGATGTACCACCCTGAATGCCTGCCTGATCTCGGAAGCCATGCAGAGTCAAACCTGGTTAGGACTTGGATGGGAGAAGAAAGCACAGATTATAAAAAGAAAGGTGATGGTAGAGATGGCGAAGACTATAAAGATTCGCAAAGTAACCAATCTATCTGTCCAGAATTGTCCATGTTCCAACACTCGGATGCTTCTGAGACAGTTGAGCGAGTGTGTAATCCAGGTCAGAAAAACCGGAGCCTTTTCTCAGGAGGCTTGGCATGCCTCGTGTTCATCTTCCTGTAGGTTTGCTGCGTGTTTGCTACCATGAAGCCTCCGCTTCTCAGTGTAGCATTCGTTTCTCACTGTGCTGCCATGTGATCCTCCAGCCGGCTGAGGGTGCCGTTTCTGGCAGGGCCTGGCTTTAGAACGGTGACAAGGTTGCCCTCAAACACTGCAGCGGTTCTCATTCTGGGGCAGTTTTTCCTCCGGGGACATTGGCAGGCGACTGGATGTCATACATGGTGGGTTAGAGTGGTGCTTTGCCACTGCTCTGTGGGCATCACCAAGAGACCAGAAACCTTGCTAACTACCCCAGAGTGCTAGAGGACAGCCCCACAACAAAGGATGGTCCCGCCTGAACGTGTCACTAGTGAAAACCAACCAACAACAACAACAAAAAGAAACCTGAATGATACCCCAGTTTCTTCCTTTTCTCAATAGTTTTGTCTCTTGTTCCTCCTGTCTGTTCAATCCAGCCATGGAACAATACGCATGCCCCTCCTCTCGGCTCTCACATTCCAGGAGGTTTATTTGGCTTGTTTTTTTTTTGCTGACCTCCGAGAATTTTAATACTAAAGTTAACTAATGAGGAGAGGCTTTCTGAAGACTTTGCCTTAGCCTGAAGGGGCAGAATGACAACAGAGGACAGATTCTCTGCAGCCTCATCTGTGTCTCTTCCTCTATAGCCCCTCCCCTCCAAGTCTGTCACCAGAGCCAAAGATGGGTCAAGGGTCAGCTCTGAACTGAAGTTCAGAGTAACTCAGGTAAGTGTTAATTTCCCGTTTATGGTGTATTGTGGAGTTTTCCCTGTTGCTCAAAACCAGTTTGGTTTGAAGATTATCACCCTGTTGACACTAGCTTGTCCATGAAACTGACAAGCCCACACACCTTGGCCGAAAGAATCTGATTCTTACCCTTTTGTGAGAGCCCATTAATAAATGTACCAATGGAGAATTTCCCCTGCTGGAGCTTATCAGAGCAATGGTCATGAATATTTCACATCACTCAGAATCCTAGAAAAGAAATACATTAATTGATTAAAGCAATGAAACAAAAAGTATCACAAGTAGACACCAAATGCCATCAGTAAGGATTAAGGAACACCATTGGGGGACCTCAACCGTGCACTGAGCAATCTGGCTAGCAATAGCTAGCAACAGCTTTGCAGATGTCTGTTCAGAACACTAATCCTTACAGACATCAAGGCAATTCTTTCCCTCCAATGAAGCAGTTCAATAGTGAAGGTCATGGGTCTTTAGCAGTTCTGTAAAGGACAGAAGTAAAAATAATTAGACAAAAGGAATACTGTAATCCCATATTCTTGGGTCCACACCAAACACAAAACTCTTAGCTCTCTGTTTCCAGATTCTCTCGAGAATCTGGCAGCAGATTCCAAATGAGAATTCCAGAACTTGACTTCACTCTCACAAGGACTGACTGC